TCTTGGCCGCTTGAATAATGCTGCAATGAACATAGGGGTGCATATATCTGCGAATACATGATTTCGAGTTTTTCGGGTGTACACCCAGGAGAGGGACTGCTGGGTTGTATGGTAGCTCTATTCTTAATTTTCTGAGTAATCGCCAGACTGATTTCCATAGTGGCTGCACCGGCCTACATTCCTACCAGCAGCGAATGAGGGTTTCCTTTTTCCCCAACCTCTCCAACATCAAGTGTATTTTCTTCCTCCCTTCCTCCCTTTCTTTTTGATCAGCTGCCTCCTGTATGCCCCACACTGGGGATCGAGCCTGCAACCAGGGCATGTGCCTTGACTGGGAATCGAACTGTGACCTCCTTGTTCATAGGTCGATGCTCAACCACTGAGCTATGCAGGCCGGGCTATGGGAGGATTCTTCCCCCCCCCCCCCCAATTATTCTTTATTGTTGAAAGCATTACATATGTTCCCCTTTTTCCCCTATTGAGCCCCTCAAGACTGCCCCCCGCCACTGCCCCAGGCCTTCAGCACCCTATTGTCTGTGTCCATGGATTATGCATACAGTGGGGCCTTGACTTACGAATGTCCTGACTAACGAGTTTTTCGAGATATGAGCCGTCTCTTGGCCAATTTTTTGCTTTGAGTTGCGAGCTAAAATTCGGGTTATGAGCCAGCTTCAGATACCCCACCGCTAGTTGGCGCAGTGAACGTCACAGTGAACGCCACAACATCAGCCCAGCATCACGTGTCTCACTCGTTCACTCTTTGATTTGGCATACGAGTAATTTGAGTTACGAGCTCCGTCACGGAACAAATTAAACTCATAAGTCAAGGCCCCACTGTATTTGCATACTAGTGGCCTGGTGCATGAATTTGTGCATGGGGGGTGGGGTCCCTCGGGGTGGCTGGGGGGATCGGGCCAAAATCGGCAGTCCAACGCCACCTGCCGCTCCTGCCTGCCTCTCCCGCTCATCCTGGCCCCGCTGTGCCTGCCACAGGCTCGCGCCCGCTGCAGTGGCACTCGCCAGCCATGAGCCCTGCGCCTGGCACTCATCAGAGGAGTGTGGGGGGCCACCTGGGACGCGATCGGCCTTCCGGGTGGGCGGTAGGACCCCCTTGCCGGCCTGGGATCTGGATCTGTCCCGCTGATGGTCGAGCTGGTTGTTGAGAGCTTCCTGGCGGCCACTTTCATATCGTTTCTTCCTTGTGGAGTGTCTGGGGAGGGGAAGCGGCCGTGGTACCCAAGGCCGACTTCCAGGAGGCCAGTGGCGCTGTTGGGATCGTGCCGTTGGCACTGGTCTGTCGGTGCCTGGCCCATTCTCCGGATATTGGGCCTGCAGGACTACTGAGGGAGTGAGTGGCTGCCGCTGGGCTGGTGGGCTGCCAGGACAGGTGGTCAGCTGAGCGGCGCTCCCCCTGTGGTAGCACACTGACTACTAGGGGGCAGCTCCTGCATTGAGTGTTTGCCCCCTAGTGGTCAGTGCGCGGTCATAGCCACTGATCGTTCTGTTGTTTGGTTCCTTAGGCATATATATATGTATGTAGACAAGGTCTTTGGTTGATTACCTCCCTCCCACCCACTCTCCCCCACCTTCCCTCCGAGATTCCACACTCTGTTCCCTGCTTCCATGTCTCTGGATCCACTCTGTTCATTAGTTTGTTTTGTTATGTAGAGTCCACATATGAGTGCGATCATGTTATACCTGTCTTTCTTTGATTTATTTCACTTAGCATCATACTCTCCAGGTCCCTCCATGCTGTCTCAAAGGGTAAGAGATTCTTCTTTTTTTTTTTGACTGCTGCATAGTATTCCTTGGTATAAATGTACCACAGCTTTTCCACCCACTCATCTGCTGATGGGCACGTGGCCTGTGTCCAGACCTTAGCTATTGTCAATTGCTCTGCTATGAACATAGGGCGCATACATTCTTTCTGATTGGTGCTTCGGGTTTCTCAGGATATATTCCTAGAAGTGGGACCACTGCGTCAAATGGAATTTCCATATTTAATTTTTGGAGGAAACTCCATACTGTTCTCCACAGTGGCTGCACAGCCTGCATTCCCACCAGCAGTGCAGGAGGGTTCCCTTTTCTCCACATCCTCGCCAGCACTTGTCGTTTGCTGATTTGTTGATTGTAACCATTCTGGCAGGTGTGAGGTGACACTTCATTGTCATTTTGATCTGCATCTCTCTGATGATCAGTGACTTTGAGCATGTTTTCATGTCTCTTGGCCTTCTGTATGTCCTCTTTGGAGAAGAGTCTATTTAGGTCTTTTGCCCATTTTTTAATTGGATTGTTTGTCTTCCCCTTGTTAAGTTGTATGAGTTCCTTATATATTTGGAGATTAACCCTTTATCAGGCGTATCACTGGCAAATGTGTTCTCCCCTGTAGTGGGCTCCCTTTTTGTTTTGTGGATGCTTTCTTTCGCTGATGGCTTAGAAAATACCAGGTAGTATGTCCTTTCCTGCCGGGCCCACCACGGCCTGACACCCTCCAGCACCAGCCTGGTCACTGGCCTGATGAATCACAAGGGCCCCGGGTCCCTCTGGTGTCAGCCCTGCCTCAGGGGTCCTCGGGGAGATTCCCTAACTGAAGACCCTAAAAACCGTACAGATGGAAGGTGAGCGGTGCCTCGGACGGCCAAGCACCCAGCTGACTGAGCAGGTGTGGGAGTTGGTTACGCGCCTGTTCACACAGATAGGCCCACGCGGCTGGGCTGCGGCTCTGAAGCGCAGGCCTGACACACGGCTGCTTCACTTCTTGGTGGCAAACCTGGCTGGCCTGGCGACCGCGGCACCTGGTGCTCACCGCCCACCCCCCCACCCATGTCATGCCTTCACCACAGAAGAACCCGTGTTAGTTTTCCAGGGCCGCCCTGACAAGTACACAGACTGGAAGTCCCAGGTCCAGGGCTAGAGCCTGACGCTGAAGGCCTGAAGCACAGCTGAGGGCGGGCCGGGGGCCATGGCAGGGCGGGCCTGGGGGCTATGGCAGGGCAGGCCTGGGGGCCATGGCAGGGCGGAGCAGGCCATACGTCCATGCTGCGGGTCCCCCAGGGCATGGGCACCGGTGCGCCCCAGGCAGTTTCCCACCACGGAGCGGTGAGCCCCAGGCCTGTCCACTCTCTCCAGAGGACAGAGGGGCTGTGGTCACGGGGACTCGGAGAATGGGGCAGGTACCCATCTGGCCAACTCCCACGCACACCCCGAGGGGCACGCTGTTCCCGCCTCGAGATCACTCCGAGCTTTGGCCTCTTCCCCTGCAGCCACGGCCCTCAGGAGCCGCCATGTGTGCCCTGCCCGGGGCAGGTGACTGTTCGGCGGGAGCCTCGCGCCTCCCTGGCCGGGGGAGCACAGTGCCCGCGCCTTCCTCTGGACAATCGGCTACTCAGACCCAAGTCACAGACCCAGAGCCTGTCCTCTTAGGGTCCCCACAGTGGGAGGTCAGTGCCGTGTCCTGTGACATGCTCCGGGTGCGGGACGTTGCATGGCCATCGCAGGAAGCAGAACGGGCACGCTTGTCAGATGCACCCAGTGGCTTAGCTCCTGCCAGGCACTCATTCCTCACGACCAGTGGCTGCTCTGAGCCCGGAGGTCCTCGAGTGCCCTCTGCTCAGGCTGTGGGTGAGGGAGAGGGGCCATGTTTTGGGCCAGCCTGGAAGGGGGCAGCACCACCCACACCCCTGGGCTGAGCGCGCCCCCCTGGCCTTGGTGAGTGGGGCGCTCTGTGGCCTGCAGGATGTGGGCGCAGGTGCTGGGCACGTCCTGTCTGCCTCAGGCGAGAGACCTCTGGGAGGCGGTGGAGCAGAGGGACCCCGACCTGCTTGAAGACGGCGCTGTTCTCCGGGTGCATTGCCGAGTGAATGACACGACAAGACGGGCAGCGCGGGGCAGTGAGCACGTGGTGCTCAGGTGGTTCCCCCACGACAGACCCTCCGCTCTTGGGCACAGAGATGGCCCAGGCTGCCCTGATGAGGCCTCGCCAGGCCTCCAGGTGGCCCGGGGACGCCGCAGTGTCACTGCAGTGCGTGGCGCTGAAGCCACAGCCCTCCGCTGCCACCCTAGTTTCCGATGCGCCTGCTGGGGGTCAGGGGAATGACGTGTCTTGCCAGGGTTACCATCCCGCACCCAGGCCTGACCCTGGCTGTTTAGGACAGTCTGCTCCTCCACCAGCTTGGTGATCTCGGCAAGGCCTTCTGAAGGCCAGGTCCTCCTTAAGGTGGAGTGCCAGTCCCTATCACGTGGCCCAGATTGGGGTTTCCTGTGAGGGAGAGGCTATCAGGGCAGGCTTCCTGGTGGTGGCACCTCCCAAGCTGAGTTTGGAATTGAGTTTTGCAAGACAAACACGGAGCCCAGGAGTCCATCTCAGAGGGTGGGGACGCCAAGAGAGAGCACTCAAGAGAGGCACAAGTGAGGCGTGTGGGCACTGGGCACTCCCTGGCTGGAGGGACACCTGGCAGCTGCTGGGCGAGGTGGCATTGGCATTCAGCTTAAAGGTGGACAGCAGTGGCCCTGGCGGAGTGGCTCAGTGGGTGGGGCATCATCCTGTACACCAAGAAGTGGTGGGTTTGATTCCCGGTCAGGGCATGTACCCAGGTTGTGGGTTCAGTCCCCATCAGGTCACGTGTGGGAGGCAACTGAACGAGTTTTCTTTCTCTCTCACATTGATGTCTCTCTTTCTCCCCCACTTCCTCTCTCTAAAAATTAAAAAAAAAAAAAAGGTGGACAGCAATGGCCTGAAAATGGGAGATGGGGGCCGATCACTGGAAGTTGTTGAGCAAGCATCCACCCCCCCCGCCCCCCCCCCCCCCCCCCCCCCGCAGGGCAGGGCTCAGGCCCCACCTAGCCCAGGCCCCATGCTTCCTAATCGCCTACTTGCTCCCTTGCTCCCTCCCCTGGGGCTGGGGGCGGGGTGGGGGCAGCTGCCCAGTTTGCTGCCTAGCGGCTGCCTGCTGGCTGTGGACGAGAAGTCCCTGCACACCCGCTGCCCGCCAGGCACTGGGATGGGGCCGCGCTGGCTGCCTCTGTTCGCGCAGCTGGTGGTGCTGCAGCTGCCAGGGGCCTGGGCCAAGGACACCATCAGGGTCTTCGTGGTGCCCCACAGCCACATGGACGTGGGCTGGCTCTACACGGTCCAGGTAGGTGCCGGCCTCCTCCCCGGGCGCCCCGAGGAGCTGCCGCCTCCTCTCCCTGCGCAGCCCAGTGGGTTTCTGCGCCCGTCCGCGCCAGCGTGGGGGGTCAGCCTGCTTCCAGGTGTGCCTCTGGGCGGTGACTGGGCGGCTGACCTTGAGCCGATCACTTCCTCCCTCTGAACCCAGCTCCCCCCCAGTGACAGGCAGCCCAGGCCGAGGAAGGTGCGTTGGCCGGAGTCAGGCCGTGGTCAGCCCTGCTCTGGGGGCTGCTCTGGGCCCGTCCCCCTCCCGCAGGGGGTGCAGGCCTCAGACTTGGCACCGGTTCCCCCTCTTCCTGCCAGATACTGGCGGGACTCCGTCCCTAACTCCCAGGGCGCCCCCCTGGTGAGTCACTGGCCTGGTGAGGCCTGGCAGGCAGTGGCTCTGAAGTCTGTTCCCTCCCACCCTCTGCCTGCGAGGGCCTGCTCCCCACCAGAGAGGAGCCCACAGCTGGGGGGGGGTGGCTGCACCCCTTTATTCCGAACGTTCTCTGTGTGCTGACGGACACGGAGAATCGCTGAATGAGTGGCTCGGCACAGAGAAATGGCGTGGAAGTCCCCGATTTCCTTGTTCCCGGTGCCTCTCACTCTTATGAACGAGGGAGGAAACGCCTACACAAATGAGCGAAGGCCGCTGTGGGGGGACCCGTCACTTCGCGAAGGACATTTGTGTAACAGAGACACGGGCAGGAAGAGGCTGAGGCCGAGGGTTCAGTCTGGTCGGGGGCACATGGGGAGCCTCTGGGGGTGAGGACTCCTGCAGATGGAGACGGCTTGGGGAGGGGGAGCATGCGTGTCACCCCTTTTACGGAAGAGGAAACAGGCCAGAGAAGGTCCCAGGTCACTCAGAATAACCCTGCAGCCCGCTGACTCGCTGCCCAGTGCTCTTTGCCAGCCTGGTGCCCAGCAGCCCTGGGCACACTGTGCGTACCCGGAGCCCCTGATGGGAAGCAGCCGGGTCACCCCCGAGAGCCCCCCCCTGGGGGGAGGGAGGCAGGTGACCTCAGGGACAGCTCCCCACACAGCCTTCCCTGCATTTGAGCCCAGGAGGCCCCGGGGGGCCCTGGGACCTAGTTCCTCTCCTGGCTCGGGCTGCTGGCCCCTCCGGGCACTGCCAGGGGCGGGTCATGGTCCGACCCCTCGCCTCTCTGGGACAGCGTGTTCTCACCGAGCTGGCGAGCCGTGTCCTGTGCTGCGTCCCAGCCTCCCTGTGTCCGGGCAGTGGGTGGGTCCTTGGTGAGAGCAGAGGGAAGGCAGCGGGAGTGGGGGAGGCGGGCGCAGGCACGGTCCCTGCCCGGCTGGTGACCCCCCCCCCCCAGGAGAACATGCAGATCTACGCCGCCAGCGTGTACACCTCGGTGGTGCGGGAGCTGACCCTCAAGGAGCACCGGCGCTTCATCGCCGTGGAGCAGGAGTACTTCCGGCTGTGGTGGGACCGGTTCGCCTCGAGGACCCAGAAGCTCCAGGTGACGGGTGGCGCGGGGCAGGGCTGGGCGGCCCCTGGGCTGGCACGGGGCTGCTGAGATGTGGTGCGGTCGGCGGTCCCTCCAGGCAGCTGCACAGACCTGGCCTCCTGGCCCCTCATGAAACCGCAGCCCCGCTGCCCCGCCGGGCACTGAGCCCTGCCGAGTGGGCCCCTGCACGGCCTCCTGGGGTGGCCCTGTGCCCACCCCTGTGGCCTTCATTTCCGAGTGTGCGCGGCCATGGCCCGGACCTGGGTACCCCGACCACGTGCAACGGTCCCCGTGGTTTATAAGCGGTGCAAAGCTAAGAAGGCTGATCAGGAAGCTCTGGGGCCCCCTGGAGGGGTGTCTGAAGCTGAAGCTGTGGAGCAGGGGTCCTCAAACTTTTTAAACAGGGGGCCAGTTCACTGTCCCTCAGACTGTTGGAGGGCCGGACTATAGTTTAAAAAAAAACTATGAACAAATTCCTATGCACACTGCACATATCTTATTTTGAAGTAAAAAAACAAAACGGGAACAAATACAATATTTATATTTGCATGTGGCCCGCGGGCCGTAGTTTGAGGACCCCTGCAGAGTCATGAGGAGGAGCCTCCATTCGATGGGGCCGTGGCCAGCGCTGGGCCCCTGCTTTAAAAAAATGAATATTGTAATGGTTTCAGAGAAGAAGGGGGAAGAAGAAGAGAGAGAGAGAGAGAGAGAGAGAGAGAGAGAGAGAGAGAGAGAAACATCAATGATGAGAGAGAATCATCAATCGGCTGCCTCTTGCACGCCCTCCACTGGGGATCGAGCCCGCTTGTGCCCTGACCGGGAATCTAACTGTGACCTCCTGGTTCATAAGTCGATGCTCAACCACTGAGCCGGCTGGGCTGGGCTCCTGCTTTTTACACATTTCTTCATTGACCCTCCCTACTGGCCGTATGGGGGGGCTAGTTACCCTGCTTTACGGAGTTGGGGAGGCTCACAGAGGGCAGGTGACGGTCCTGTGGTCACAGCTCATATGTGACAGGAGGGATTCTGAGCCATGCATGTCTGACAAAGTACGTCTCTCCAGGTGTCCAGTGGGCGGTCCGCACTTTCTCCCATGGACACACCAAACCCAGTTGTCTGTCTCCTACCCCCACTTCCCCGCCGGGGAGCGGAGGGTCCCAACGAACACCCGGGCAGGGAACTCCATGGCCCCGCGTGCTGGCAGCAGGGGTTTTTGTCTGTTTGCTTCATGGCCGGACCTGCAAAGCCTGAACAGGGCCTGGCGTGTAGTAGGTGGCCACCTAAAACAGCACGGAGTAGGGGCTCACTCCTTATTTGTTGAGTGAATGCAGTGTAAATACTGCGCCTTCATAAAGCAAATAAAGACAGTCTGTAAACAGCAGGGTGGCGACATGGCCCACCTTCTTTGGCCATTAGTTATGTTCCAATCCCCCCTTCATTCACTTAAGATTACCTACTATTCTTCCGATATTTCAAAAATATTAGAACAGCGGTTCTCAACCTGTGGGTCACGACCCTTTCACAGGGGTTGCCTAAGACCATCGGAAAACACATATATAATTACATATTGTTTTGTGATTAATCACTATGCTTTCATTATGTTCAATTTGTAACAATGAAATTGGGGGTCCCCACAACATGAGGAACTGTATTAAAGTGGCATTAGGAAGGTTGAGAACCACTGCATTAGAAGCACGTTGGAAGACATGGATGAGATGCAAGTCTTCTGAAAAGACACGTGCTTTAGCATGTCATGAGAAAAACCCAAACTGCAGGACGGTCTCCAAATGACTAACCTGTGATCTCCGAAACGGTCCGTCCCGTGAAGGCCGGGCCCGGCGAGGAGCTGTCCCAGAGGGAAGGTCGCGGGGCGATGACAGCTCACAGCCGCCCCCAGAAGAGGACGTTCGGGGAGCTCTCGGCAAACTGGGGGGGGGGGGGGGGGGGAGGGGGAGAGTCTGGAGCTTAGCTAGCGGTGTGCGAGGGTGAATTTCCTGATTTTGATCCTTAGGCTGTGATTAAAACGATCCTTTTCTTCCCGGACGCTAACTGAACTTCTGCGGGTAGAAGGCATGCCCTTGCTAACTTATACTTTCAAATGGTTTAGAAACACACACTGCACAGAAAGACATGGGGGAGCGTGAAGGAAACTGGGTAAAGTGAGCCTCGAAGACTCCAGCCTGGGGACCCACGGAGCTCTTTGTACAATTCTTGCACATTTTCTCTAACTTTGAGATTGTTTCAAAAGTAAAAATTTAGCCTGGCCAGTGTGGCTCAGTGTTGAGTGTCGACCTGTGAACCAGGAGGTCACGGTTCGATTCCCGGTCAGGGCTCATGCCCGCGTTACCCGCTTGGTCCCCAGTAGGGGGCGTGCAGGAGGCAGCCGATGAATGATTCTCTCTCATCATGGATGTTTTTATCTCTCTCTCTGCCTTCCTTTCTGAAATCAATAATATATATATTTTTTAAAAAGTAAAAAATGTTAAAAGCTATAACCCGCAGCAGCCACAGGCCAGGTGCTGCTCTGGGTGGAGGGGTGCCGTGCTGAGCGGGGCAGTGTCCTGCCTCTGCAGAAGGAATGAAGGTGGGAGTTTCAGGGGAGGCACCGCGAGACGCTGGCCCATGTCCCCGCAGAGCCACCACACTCTGGGGTTGACCTGGCCTGCCTCTGTGCCTGCCGTGCCAGGTCCGCGAGCTGCTGGCCCACGGACGCCTGGAGTTTGTGAGCGGAGGCCAGGTCATGCACGATGAGGCGGTGACGCACTTTGACGACCAGATCCTGCAGCTCACAGGTTCGGCCCCTTCTTCCGTCGCCAGCCTTTCGGGGCCTCCATTCGGGCTGGGACTTGGTGCCTGAATCCAGGTGCTGCGCTTCGTCCTCCCCACTGTGCGGGGGACTGTGGCAGTGCGAACCGTGACTGGCTAGTGCCAAGGCCTGGCTCCGACCGGGGATGCTAGACCCGCTAGCCTGCTGGGTCCCAGCCTGTGAGCCTGGCCCAGGGATGTCACCTATCGCGTCTCAGTGTCCTCCTCGCTGAGATGAGTTTGATGATACTTACCTTAAAGATTTGTGTGAGAAACAGATTGCAATCATTGAAATAGAGCACTTTAGTGAAGTGCAGTGTTCCCTAGTAAATACTCATTAAAGGTTCGATGCCTTTCATCATTACACCACCATCACCACCACTCCACCTGCGATTCACCAACATAGCCATCAGCACCATCACCCTAATCACCTTTACCTCCACCACCACCACCATCACCACCATCACCATCACCATCACTATCATCACCATCACCACCACTACCATCACCATCACCATCACCATCATCGCCATCACCACCACCATCATCACCATCACCACCACCATCATCACTATCATCACCATCACTACCACCATCAATACCACCACCATCACCACCACCATCATCACTATCATCACCACCATCACCACCTTCACCATCACCATCACCATCATCACCATCACCACTACCATCATCACTATCATCACCACCACCACCACCACTTCCATTATCATCATCATCATCACCATCACCACCATCATCACCACCACCACCACCACTTCCATTATCATCATCATCATCACCACCACCACCATCATTATCACCACTACTACCACCACCACCACCACCACCACCATTATCATCACCACCACCATCATTATCACCATCACCACCACCATCACCACCATCATCATCACCACCATCACCACCATCATTATCACTTTCACAACCTCCACTTTTACCCCCAGCACCACCACCTTTATGACCACCAGCACCTTCCTCATCCCCACCTCCACCTTACCATCTCCACCCACCATTGCAATGGTGGTACTTCTCTCACCGTTTACCAAAGGCTTCATAAGAAGCATTTAACGGCAGGCTGCCGGGAGGAAACTAGGGCAGCTGGAACACTGACAAGAAAAGAAAAGAAAAGAAAAGAAAAGAAAAGAAAAGAAAAGAAAAGAAAAGAGCCAGTGGGTGAGCCAGAATGAAGCCAGGCCTGAGACCCTCCGCCCCAGGTCACCCCACGACAGCACGGCCCCAGGTGCCCAGTGTGTAAAACATCAGGGCAGAGCCGGAGGAGCTGGATGCTGTCTTAGGGCCTTGAGCACTGCCTCCCTCCCGCTCTGTAATCTGGAGTCCTTCCCTTATCTCAGGCTCTCCCTGCTCATTTCCAGACTTCACCCCCTTTGCCACTTTCGTCTAGAAGGCAGTGTTGCTGACAAAACCCTTTCTTCTCAGACTCTCACGTCCCTCTTGTGTTCAAGATGCCTCCCGCCCACAGAGCCCCTACTGCAGGCCAGGGCTGCTCCTGTGCCCCTCGCACGTGCTCGCACCCGGGCGGGCGGGGGTCTGGCGCAGGGGGGCCTCCTGCCACAGCCGCCAGCCAGGCCCGAGGGCGGGGCTGGAACTGGTTCCCAGGGGAAGTGAGTCCCAGGGGCCGCTCAGGCCTGTTGGAGAGCGAGGTGCGGAGCTGGGGGCGATGGCAACTGCTTTAGTTCTCATTTCATCCCCCTCCCGGCGCCCCACGTGGCCTCCGGGCCTGCTCGGGGCTCCTCTCCGGCTCCTCTTCTGCCTCCTGCTGCCCCTTTTTTCTTCTTAATTTTTTTTTTTATTATTTTTTTGTTGATCCTCACCTGAGGATATTTTTTCCATTGATTTTTAGAGAGTGGAAGGGCGTGGGAGAGAGAGAGAAACACCAATGCGAGAGACACATTGACTGGTTGCCTCTGCACGCGCCCTCTCCGGGGGTGGGGATTGAGCTTGCAACGGACATTCGTGCCCTTGACTGGGATCGAACCCGAGGCCCTTCAGTTCGCCGGCTGATGCTCTAACCACTGAGCCACCGGCCAGGGAACCCATCCTGTGTTTTCGGTCGTAATGTTTCCTTTTGCCTCCACCTGAACAGCTCATCTCAGTCTCTTCTGCCAGGACCCCTCCTTTGGGTCCCCATAGTTCCTTATCACCTCCCCTTCCCCCCGAAACTCCAGGGGGCCTCTGTCAGCAACCCAAGTCTGAGTCATCTTTGGGACCCCCCTCAGTTCACGGTCTGGCTGGACAAGTGCTGATGGGCATGGTGGGGGAGGGGGGCGCTGCCGGCCTGCCTCAGGGGTGCCCACAGCAGCAGCAGCCTCACCTCAGGACTCAGCCCACCTGCCCTCGAACCCTGAGCGCCCAGTGCTAGCCCTGCAGGCCTGACCTAGCGAACGGCGACCGGAACTGGGGTTGCATCGCTGTGGGACAGGAAGGGCGCTCTGCCCAGTGGACCCCAGAAGCTCTGTTTCCCAAACCAGCCCATCACTCTGTCTGCGTCACTCAGCCTGGCCTCTGGCTCCCGGGGGCGGCCCTTCAGTCCCGAGGAAGAAGTGAAGGGCGGGTGACTGGGTTGGAGCCCTTTGCATGAGTCATCTGTGCAGCAGACCCTGCTTGCCCGGGCACCCGTGCCCGGTGCCGAGTGGGTGAGCGAGGGGCGAGGGCCCGCCCTGTCGCCAGTGTGGGCGCCGGTGCTCTCTCTGCAGAAGGACACGGCTTCCTTTACGAAACGTTCGGGGTCCGGCCACAGTTCTCCTGGCAGGTCGACTCGTTTGGCGCCTCTGCCACGACGCCCACCCTGTTTGCCCTGGCGGGGTTCAACGCCCATGTCATCTCCCGGATCGACTATGAGCTAAAGGAGGCCTTGATGCAAGTGCAGGTGAGTGCTGGGCGCACCCACCGCTGCCCCCTTTGGCCCTAGGAAGCGCCTGTCCTAAGGGAGGTGCCCCTGCAGGGCTGGGCCGCACCCGAGCAGAGAAGCAGGGGCTTAGGGTCAGGAGAGCAGCGGGAACCGCCGTAGGAGGCAGGCGAAGTGGTGGAGCTCCGGTGGGCAAGGGAAGTAACCCTTAGGAGCGCCACCAGGGCCCCTGAGCACGGAGCACGGAGCACGGAGCACACTTCCCCGGTCAGCGTGTCTGCTCTCAGCCGCAGGCAACTCTGGCCGAGTGCGGCTCTGCCATCTTCCAAGGCCCAGAATCGAGTCGCTGGGGCGTCGGGGAGCCTGCGTGCGCCCCAGAGAGAGGCTAACAGGACCAGGATTTCCTCCCCGCGTGTAACCTGAGCACGCCTGGCCCGCTGAGCCGTGGGCTGCTGCGCCGTGAGCGCGATGAGCGCCCCGTGCCTGAGGGCGGCCCGGGAGGCGGCGGTGAATGAGCAGGCAGCCTGCTCGAGGGCAGATCCGCACTCATGCGGCTTTGGGGGGTGAGGTGGGGCCTCAGGAGGGGGCAGCGAGGGAGGCCTGTCCACGCCACGCGGCCCTCAGCCTCGCTGGTCCCTCCGGTTCGCAGGAGATGCAGTTCGTGTGGCGAGGGTCCCAGTCCCTGGCGGAGCGGCAGGAGATCTTCACGCACGTCCTGGACTTTTACGGCTACTGCTCGTGAGCGCTCGCGTGCCAGGCCCCTCTAGGCACTGTCCCTGCACGGCCTCAGCGGTGACCCTCCCCCCCCGGAGGGAGACGCACCCGGTGCCCCATGTCACACCACGAGAAACTGAGGCAGAGCCACTCGGCCAAGGTCCCCGTGGTTAGCGAACGTTCGGAGCCGGGTTTGGTTCAGGCGCCAGCGCCCAGGCCTCGTGTCATGGGTACAGCCAGCCCCTTTGCACCCGCGAGGCCGGGCACAGGGTGGCCGTCCCTCTGTGAGTAGGAGAGACCAGCAGGCAGGCTGGAGGGGCCGCTGGGAGAGGGACACCCGCGGGCTCACTGCCGGCGTGGCCGTGGGTCAGGCCCGCTCCGTGCCCGGCACGGTATCTCACGGTTTCCCACCAATGATTGTCATTGAATCCTCACCACGGCCTCCAGTACATGTTACCCACGAGATCCTGGTCCCCCAGGTGCCTCTGTGCTGCCCAGCGAGGCAGGGGCCAGGCTCATTCTCAGGGTCAGAGCCGTGCCAAGCGTGGGCGCCGGGGTGGAGGGGGAGGAGCGGCGTCTGCCTTTGTTGAACGCCGCGAGGTTTTGCTCACCAGGATTGTTCCGGCCTTAATTTTACTTTCTGAAACATTGCCTTAAATCTCGTTCCTGGCGACACTAGACTGGAGTTGAGGTGGCTGCTTCCCTGGCCATGGCCCTGCACCCGTTTTGCAGGCTGGGAGGTGCCCAGGGAAGGAGCGATCCCCTGTGGAGGAGGGGACGCAGTGGCTGTAGGCTCCATGGGAAGATGATGACGCGGGCCAGGGAGGGGCGGCCTGGACTGGAGCCCCCTCTGTCTGCACAGCTCCTGCCTGCCCACCCCTGGCCGGCCCGTGGCGTTGGTGGGAGCCGGGGTCACCGAGGAGGGTCTGCAGGTCCTGAGCTGCCCCATGGGCTGCCTGAGCCCTGCCAGGCCCCGGGGACCTCAGGCTGCTTCCCTTCTTGGGGTGGGGCCCCCTAACCTCTCTCTCTCCCGCAGGGTAGGGTATTCCTGGGAAGGTGAGGCCCCGTTGCTCACACAATTCCAGGGTGGGGAACACAGCAGCCTGAATGACCCCGTCACTGTGCGCAACATCGAAATGTACGTGGAGAGGTTTGTGTTGGACGTGAAGTCGCGGGCCCGTGGGTATCGGACCCCGCACATCCTCTGGCCCTGGGTAAGCTGCTCCCAGGCCCTGGTGTCTGCCTCGCAGCCACGCCGGGCTCGTGTTCCCCTCAAACCGGGCCGGTCTCCACCCAGGTGCCGGGCCGGCTGCCATCTGCCCACCCTGGCCTCACCCCACCAGCTCCTTCCACGCCCTGAACTCACCCAGCCTCTGCCCGGAAGCACAGCCCGCGCCTGCGCCCGCCTCAGGCCCCACCCGCTCTCTCCAACGCTTTCACTGTGGCGGCCTCTCTCGTTTTCTTTTAGAGCCATTTTGTCGGCTTGCTCTTTTTGTTTCTCTTTTTGTTTGCGATTGCCTTTCTCTACAGGTGCAGGCGTTAAAAGTAGTTTTTGAAAAAAATAATTTTTGAAAACTATAAAACTCCATACATGATGTCAACAGGCCACTTGAACGACATATTTGATCTAATATATATATAAAACTTTGGATGAGGCTTGAGGCATAAGTTAAACTACATGTAGGCAATAAAGAAACGCAATAATGAAATGTTTGCTTTCTCAACAGTTCAAAATAGAATGTGATGCTTGCAGGAGCACAGAAACACCTGCCTAAAGTATCTGCTGTCCAGGCCACAGAACCCCAACAGTATCATCCTGTGACCTCCCTTTGTTCTTTTTTATTTTTATTTTTATTGATTTCAGAGAGGAAGGGAGAGAGAGAGAAACATCAATGATGAGAGAGAATCATTGACTAGCTGCCTCCTGCACGCCCCCTACTGGGGATCAAACCTGCAACCTGGGCAGGTGCCCTTGGCCAGGAATCAAATGGTGTGTGTTATGTGTGTGTGTGTGTGTGTGTGTGTGACCAGGAATCGAATGGTGTGTGTGTGTGTGTGTGTGTGTGACCAGGAATCGAATGGTGTGTGTGTGTGTGTGTGTGTGACCAGGAATCGAATGGTGTGTGTGTGTGTGTGTGTGTGTGTGTGTGTGTGTGACCAGGAATCGAATGGTGTGTGTGTGTGTGTGTGTGTGTGTGACCAGGAATCGAATGGTGTGTGTGTGTGTGCGTGACCAGGAATCGAATGGTGTGTGTGTGTGTGTGTGTGTGTGTGTGTGACCAGGAATCGAATGGTGTGTGTGTGTGTGTGTGTGTGTGTGTGTGTGACCACATTGTTTATCCATTCATCTATGGATGGACACTTTAGGTTGCTTTCATGTTTTGGCTATTGTAAATAATGCTGCTATGAGTATGGGTGCATATAACTTTTAGAATTAATGTTTTGTTTTCTTTGACTAAACACCCAGGAGGGGACTTGCTGGTTCAGATGGGAGTTCTATTTAAAATTTTTTGAGGAATCTCCATACTGTTTTCCATAGTGGTCGCACCAACTTGCAGTCGCACCAACAGTACACAAGGGTTCCCTTTTCTCCACCTCCTACCAATACTTCTCTCTTGTCTTTTTGATGGTAACCATTCCAACAGGCGTGAGGTGATATCTTACTGTGGTTTTTGATTTGCTTATTATTATTTTTAATCTTCACCCGAGGATATTTTTCCATTGGTTTTTTAGAGAGAGTAGAAGAGAGAGGAAAAGACAGAGAGATATCAATGTGGAAGAAATGCATCGATTGGTTGCCTCCTTCACAAGCCCCGACCAGGGCCTGGGCCGGGGAGGAACCTGCAACCAAACTATGTGCCCTTGACCGGAATCGAACCCGGGACCCTTCAGGTTGCAGGCCAACACTCTATCCACTGGGCCACACTGGCCAGGGCAATGTGGTTTTTGATTTGTATTTCGCTGATGGTTAGGGATGCTGAGCCCCTTTTCATCGGGCCCGTTGGCCATCTGTCTGTCCCCTTTGGAGAGATATCTACTCAAATCCTTTGCCCGTTTTAAAATGGGATTGTTGTTTTCCCGCTTGAGCCCATGGTGTGGTAGTTTTGATGTATCGCTGAACTCAGTTTGCTAACATTTTGTTGAGAATTTTGCATCTATGTTCATGGGGGATGGTCACCTGTACTTGTCTTTACTTGTGGTGTCGCTGTCTCACTGTGGGACGAGGGTAACGCTGGCCTCAGAAATGAGTGTGGAGATGTTCTCCCCTCTTCTATTTTTGGGGGGAAGATTTTCGGGGGATTGGTATTAATTCTTCTTTTAATAGCCTTAACCAATGAACTCATCGGCCCTGGAGTTTTGTTTGTTTGGAGTTTTTGACTACCGATTCAATCTCCTTACTAGTCATGCCTGTTTACGCGCTCTGCTCTTTCAGATTCAGGCTTGGCAGGTAGTACGGTTCTAACAATTTTGACTTTGCTGTTTTGGAGGCGAGGTGAAGGGCCATAAATGTGGGCTGTGGCTGGCTCATTGTGTTCACGATCCCCACAGCACCTGAATGGATGGCTCTGATGAGTAGTAGTACTAATGGCTTTTAGAAATGCCGGGGCGTGAAATAAGTCAGAGGGAGACGAAATACCGTACGATTTCACTCACAGGATAGGTAAAATTTAAAACACAAAACGCGTAGAAAAAGAGATGGAATTTGTGGTTGTCAGGGGTGGGGGGTGAGGGAATGGGTGAAGATAGTCACAGGAAAAAACTTTAAAAAATATTCTTATTGATTTCAGAGAGGAAGGGAGAGGGAGAGAGAGAGAAACATCAATGACGAGAGAGAATCACTGATCGGCTGCCTCCTGCACGCCCCCCACTGGGGATCGAGCCTGCAACCCGGGCCTGTGCCCTTGACCGGATTCTAACCCGGACCCTTCGGTCCACAGGCTGACGCTCTATCCACTGAGCCACACCGGCTAGGGCAGGAACAGACTTCTTATAAGATAAAAGATAAACAAGTCTAGGGGGTGTACAACCTGATCTAGAGAAAAGAAAGAGAAAGAGAGAAGGAAACATCCAGGGGTGTAGCGGGGGAGCCGGTCCGGGACGTGGACGGCCGTGGAGAGCGGCAGGTGCCGGGGAAGGCCCCGCGGTTCTGCTGGGCTGCGCTCTGCCCTCAGGACAGGCCGTGCCTGTCCCGCCGCAGGGGTGCGACAGGAAGTTCTTCAGCGCCGGCGTGCAGTTTGCCAACATGGACCTCCTGCTGAGCTCCCTCAACACCCGCGCCTCGCAGCTGGGCGTCACGGTGGAGTACGCCACGCTGAGCGCCTACTTCCGCGCCCTGCACGCCCACAACGCCACCTGGCACGTCCGCGGCCACCAGGACTTCCTGCCCTACGCCTCAGGTGCCCGCCTGGGGGCGGCAGTTTGCGGCCAGCGTGGGCCCTCACGTCTGCTCTTCCAGCCTGGGGCCTGGCCCGGCCCCTCCCTCCTCCCACCCACCACCCTCCACCCACCCACCCCCCTCTCACCCCCCACCCTCCCACCTCCCACCCACCCTCCCTCCTCCCACCCACCCTCCCTCCTCCCATCCACCCTCCCTCCTCCCATCCACCCTCCCTCCTCTCACCCACCAACCCTCCCTCCTCTCACCCACCCACCCTCCCTGGGCCACCAGAGGGACGTGCTGAGGCAGGCCTGTCCTGGGTCCCCCATTGTCCCAGAATCACATTCAGAGGCTGCGGTGCTCAGACCTCTGAGCGGGTCCTGCCCACTCCCCTCCCCTCCCTCCCCTCCCCCAGGCCTCCCAGGCCCCTGGTTCAAGGCTGAGCCAGGCCTTCCTGACCCTCCTCAGGCTTTCCTGCCCCCCAGCCCACCCAGGCATCCTCCTCCCACCTGCCCAGCCCCTCCAGGGCTCTGGGGCAGTCCCTGGCCTGGCTGGGGCAGGAGCCCCCAGGCCTTCTGGGGGGAGCGGGTGACCCCGCCCCTCTGGCCCCAGCTCTTACGGGGGTGGAGGGTGGGGGGGGGGCTCACACCCCTGCTGGCCCTTGTCTCTCAGAGGAGTCGCAGGTGTGGACCGGCTTCTACACCTCCCGCAGCCCGCTCAAGGGGCTGGCGAGGCGGGCCAGCGCGCTGCTGTACGCCGGGGAGTCCATGTTCACGCGCTACATGTGGCCCAGCCCCCGGCGCCGCCTGGACCCCCGCTGGGCCCTGACGCAGCTCCAGAAGCTCCGCTGGGCCGTCTCCGAGGTAACGTCGCAGATGAGATCATCGAGGGCCCCCTGGTGACCAGCCTGGACGGGGGGCGCTGGATGCAGGCCCTGCTCTGCTGTGTGGCCTCGGGCATGGGATGCTCTGAGCCCCAACCTCGCCCTGTGCCACGAGAACACACGCCCACCCGGTGGGTGGGGGCAATCGAGTGCCATAATGTGCAGGACCCGCTTGGCCTGGCGGCCGCGGCGCAGGGACGGACTGAGCCCAGCGTGTCCCGGGGCGCCCAGCGGGAGTGACGGCCCTCCCCAAAGTCAGCTGGTTCCGCAAGGTCAGGAAGGGCGAGGGACCCACCTGCGCCCACACCTGCTGAGCGGAAGGGCAGCCAGGGCCTAGCAGGCGCGGGGCCCCGCCAGCTCTCGGCCGGCAGGCCGGACCCATTCTCCCCTCTCTGGAGGGGCGGCAGGTGCAGCACCACGATGGCATCACCGGGACGGAGGCCGTCAAGGTGGGGGACATGTTCACGCAGCACCTGAGAGCAGGGATGCAGGCCGTGCTCCGGCTGGTGGCCGCCATCGTGCTGGACCCGCCCCGAGGCTCCCCAGGTACGCGAAGCCCGCAGGGTGGGGTGCGGGCTGGGGGTGCAGACGCTCTGGTCCCTTCTGAGAAGAGAGCCTGGGGGCCGGGGGCGGGGCCTGAACACCTGACCTCGTGTGCCCTGACCTCGCCTGACCTTGGGCAGGTGCGTCACTGCTCCGAGCCCCCGTTCCCGCGCCCTGCACAAGGGAGGGCTGAGGGCTGAGGGCTGAGCATCGGCTGGGCCCCTCCCCAGGCTGGCCCCTATCCCGCCTCCCACCCTGCCTGCGAGGACTGCTCCTGCCTGCTGTTCTAGCGAGGACACGGGGAGACGGTGCTGCGGACTCCCCAGGCCACGCAGGCGGGAAAGGGCTGCACCCCAGGCCTGCCGCTGCCCTGTGCTGTGCAGGCCTAGGTGACCCCGGGAACCTGGCGCGGCCGGGCCCCCGCCCTGGCCGAGCGTCAGCGTGGGCACAGGCACCCAGTGCAGCCGGTGGACCCAGGCCTTTGACTACGAGGGTGTCACGAGTTCGCAGTGACGATCACACCCATCTGACGCGTCTGAGGGGCTTCAAACCCACAGGCCCCCACTCTCAGCCTGCTCTCCGCACTGGGCCCTTCTCCCCTCCATGTCACTGCTCACCTGGCCTGCTCCCCGCCCCCCGTGCCTGTGTGGGTCCCCATCCCACCTTCAGACTCTGGGTGGCCCGGGGGCCGGGAGCAGCACACAGCGCCTGCCTACAGGCCTGGGCTTGGTGGGAGAGACAGACAGACAGTCATGGAAAGAATAGGACAGGGCAGTGACCACACTGCCTGGCAGGGCAGTCCCTGCCCACGAGCTGGCACGGGCAGTGGTGCAGCAAGGGGTCAGCGGAGACGACCGAGGGGCACCGCAGCCCAAAGGAGTGGCCGAGCAGGGGCAGGCGCTGGACAGAGTGTGCTGTGAGCGGCCTCACAGGCGTGGTCAGAGCTGGCTGCACCCGGGGCACACGAAGGGACAGAAAGGGACTCAGGTGCACACCCGGGGGTCTCGCATGCTGGGCTGGGCAGCTGGACTTGACCTTCCAGGCTCCAGAGAATTCTCCGGTCACTCTCCGTGCCGGGCACTCAGAGCTGTGGGGCGCGGCCTCAGGACCTGGGCTGCCGGGGGCGGTGACCCTTTCTCTGGCCTCCGTGTCCTCATCCGCAGGGTGGGCTGACCGGGCAGGTGAGCTGGGAGCACACGGAGCCTCCGCTGTCCAGAGGCACTGGGGAGAGGGACACGGCGCCAAGCGGTGTAGAGCGCCCTGCAGGGAGCACACCCGTCCCTGTCCTCTCCCGGGAGCCCTGCAGGGAGCACACCCCGTCCCTGTCCTCTCCCGGGAGCCCTGCAGGGCCCTCTCTCGCCTGCCTGTTTCTCCTGCACCGAGGGGCCCCCCACGGTGTCGCCTGAGAACAGCAAGGAAAGCCCACCCTCCTTGCAGGCTCAGAGCCCAGGGGACACTCTGCCGCGGTCTACAACCCCCTGGCCTGGACGGTCACCACTGTGATCAACCTGACCGTGAGCTTCCCCCACGTCACGGTCACGGACGAGTCAGGCCGCCCGGTCAAGGCCCAGGTAGGGGCGCGATTGCTGCTGCGGACGCACTTGCTGTGGCTGACACCTGCCCGGGCCAGGCGCTCGCAGGGGCACCGACAGCCCCCCCTCCCTGAGGACATCCATGTGGGCGTGTCCACTGCGGGTCCGAGGGATCTACCCAGAGGACCGACACCGGGCTGGGGCAGCTGACGTGGCCACAGGTCCCGGGACAGACCCTCCCTGGAGGGCCTCGGCGTGGCCTGTGCTGGGAGGGCCGCTCGCCCCGCCCTGAGTGTGTGTCTTTTCTAATGTAAATGCCCACTTTGCGAGGGAAAGGCCTCCCTGTTCCTTAAGGGGGTGGTTTACGGAGGTGCTGATATCAGGGCTGCCTCTCGGTCCAGCACCCAGACACCGAGGGGCCCCCCACTCAGTGTGTGGTCCATTCTCCTCTCCTCCCCTGTCTGGAACCGGACCTGGTGCCCCGGGCACCCCTCCTGCCATCCTGCGGGCCCTTCCCTGGAGGTGCCACCCGTTGGTCATTCAGCAGACACTCCCCCATGCCTGTTCTGGGCCTGGCTCTGGTCTGAGTTCTGGGCCTCTGGACACATCACTGTGGGGAGGGGAGCGGATGCTGAAGGGCCAGGGAAGGCGTGGCGCGGTGCTCCGGAAGACAGGGCCGCAGCCCCCGCTGGGACCGGAGGCAGGGGAGCTCCTCCGAGCAGGAGGCCTGGAGGAGGGGTTGGTCTGTGCAGACCCAGCACGGCCCCCTTCCCACCAAGTGCAGCACCGTGCAGAGTAAATCACTGACCGCCTGTTCTGGAGCCCCTGCCACGTGTCCGCGCTGGTCTAGGCACTTGGGTACTATCCCAGCCAAAGTCCCTGCCTTCTAGCCAGGGGGACAGGCAATAAACCAAAGGAGAAAGTGCAGACGGTGACAAGGAAAGTCACCGGGGAGGCTGCGGGGGACAGACGCCTGCAGCGTCTCACCAAAGGCTGGTGGGAGGCTGTGTGGGGCCTCCCGGGGTGTGCTGACAGGCCTCCCCAAAAGGCCTCCCACTTGCCCTAAGAGCGAGGGGCATGGCCAAATGGGCCCCGTGTCTCCTCCAAGCCCCCTCCCCAAACCAGAGAAGGGGGACGGAAAAGGGTCCCCCCCCCAAAAGTGTCCCTCTGTGGGAAATTGGAGGATGGAGGGAGAAGGTCGCCCCCTCCCGGGAGGGGGTCTCCGGCAGAGGGAACGGCATGGGGAATGGTTCAGGGGCAGGAAGCAGCAGGAGTGGGGAAGGAAGGGCAGTTGGTGGTGCTGGTGCCAAGAGGGAGGGAGGCAGGGGAGGGAGACGAGGCCAGGGCTGGAGCCTGCTGAGCAGGGAGGATGCAAGGAGGGAACTCAGCCCAGTTTGATGATGGAAAGACGCCCTGCCCAGGAGGGGGCATGCTGAGGTTACTGCGGAGACTAGTCGTCCAACCCTGAATCTCTTTTATGTTGAACATTTGGCCCTGCAGGTCCAGAGATCGAAGGAGATCCCACATAAATATGACTTGTATGTGCTGACCACGATCCCGGGCCTCAGCTACCGGTACTACAGCGTCAGGCCCACCGAGCAGGCCCCGGAGGGCCAACAGGCAGCAACCGCCACCATGGCCTTCACCTCCAAGCTTGACCGCAAGCCAAGAAGACTGAGCACCAGGCCCTTGGGCAAGAAACTGGTGTCCGTGAAGAATGACTGCTACACTGTCTTCCTAGACCCGGACACCAACCTGATGCACAGCATCTGGGAGAGGTGAGGTGCAGCCACTACTGGCTCTGAGGTGGAGGCATTCCCTGAGGCCCGAGCTGTCACTCCCCCACTGGGGACTTTATTTCCTCTCCTGACTGGGGGAAGGGCTTGATGGTGGTGGAGGTCTTTCAGCATTTTGCCATCTTTATTTCTAGGAGGATGAGTTTTGGCCAGTGCAAAAAAGACTTTCTTAAACTTTTTCATTCCAGAGCTGTTGATCCTGAGGAAAAAGGGATATTGAGGGACCTCCACCCCAGGGAATAAATATAATAATCATTTTACCCCCTTTTTAAAATTTAGTGAAACATAAAATTCATTAATCTATTCACTCACCCACCAAACTATCCATCTACCCACCCACTCACCCATCTATTCACCTATTACACCTCCATTCTTCTGTATAACCCGCCCATTTATCCACACACCTGTCCCATCCATCCATCCATCCATCCATCCATCCATCCATATCTCTACCCATCCACACATCCATCCATTGAATCATTCATCCATTTATCCATCTATTTGTCCATCCATCCATCCATCCATCCATCCATCCATCCATCCATCCATCCATCCATCCACTAACGCATCCGTTTTTGCACTCAACCATCCACATATCCATCAAACTGTCTGTTGATCATCCATCCATCCATCCATCCATTCCTCCCTCCATCCATCCAATCACGCATTCAGGAGCTCCTTTCTCACAGCAGAGAGGGCAGCTGACTCCCAGGAAGGTCTCCCTGGAGGTTTGGGGTCAACCCTGTCCATGCTCAGGCCACAGCCCAGGCAGCTTTCATTGGAGCCCAGCTCCCTCTGCAGAGCACCATGTCCATGTCCTGAAGTGATCTCCAACCAGGAGTGGGAGTGTGGGAGAAGGAAAGAGGGGGGGGGGGAGAGGGGAGAAGAGGGAGAGGAGAGGTGGCTGTGAGTGAGTGTCACCAGGAGCTCAGCCCCAGGCGGCTGTCAGCAGCTCTGCAGGCACAGAGGTCTGGGACTTCCCTTCGAATGAGACCCTTCGCGAGAGCTGTGGCTGGAGGGAGGGCTGAGAGCAGGCGGTGGAGGGGAGCCACAGAAATGCCCCGAGCATGCTCCGAGCTCCCTGGTCAGGTGGGGAAAGGTGGAGTCAGCCGCTGGCTTTGGGTCCTTCCTTGCTCGGTCCTGCACACCATCCGGAATGCCCCTGCGAGGGCCAGCTCCAGCTCGCCACTCCTTTCTCGCAGCCCTCGATGCCCACACCTAAGCCAGGACCCACTGCCCACCTCCTGGCCCCTGTCTCCTGTCAGCTGCTTTAGGAGAGGAGAAGGGTGTTTCTCACTGGGATCCCTGATGTTCCAGTGAGCTCACCGCAAAGCACATCTGGCGCATTCTCAGAGAGGAGCTGCTGGAACTGGAGTGGGGGTGCTCGGAGGAGACCCCGGGAGCCCGGCCGGAGGCTTGAAGGGCCAGAGGATCTGCTGGCACAGATGAGGGGCATTGTGCCATAGAAGGGAACGCCTGGGCAAGGCCTGAGGTGGATCAGAGCTGAGTTGCTGTAATTCACACACCATCCCATTCACCCACTTACCTGGATGCATCTATGATTTCTAGGATGTTCACGGAGTTGTGCAAGCGTCACCACACACACTTTTAGAGCATGTTCCTCACCCCAAAGAGACGTCTCATGCTCCCTGTCTCCTACTCCCCGCAGCTCTAATCTCTTTTCTGTCCCCCTGGATTTGCCCTATTTGGAGATTTCATAAAATGAAAGCAGACCACATGGGGTCCTTTTGGGACTGGCTTCTGTCACTCAGCATCAGGTTCCCAAAGCTTTATCCGTGGTGCACCCTGGATGCGCACGGCGTGCCTTTTTCATGGCCCAGTAGTACTCCGCCGCTTAGCCACACCAGTTCATTTATCCAGTCCACAGCGGACGGGCACCTGTGCAGTTCCCACGTTTTGGCTCTTCTGAGTCATGTTGCTGTGGCGATGCCTGTGCCTGGATTTGTGTGCGTGTGGGTTTCCTTTCCTGGGAGGATTCCTCGGAGCGGAGTCACTAGGTCACAGGGCCTCCTGTCTCTCTGCTGATGGCGCTCCTCGGGTGTGACGCGGCATCGCGTCCAAGGGGGTTCTGACTTGCGTCTCCTCGCTGACCGGGGTGCCGGCATCTCTCGCGAGGCCTGGTGAACACCTGTATATCTTCTCTGATGAAATGTCTGGGCAGATCCTTTGTCTGGTTTGAAATTGGGTTGTCTTTTAAAAAATGTGTTTTTATTGATTTCAGAGAGGGAGGGAGGGAGAGAGAGAGAGAGAGAGAGAGAGAGAAACATCCATGGTGAGAGAGAATCATGGATCAGCTGCCTCCTTGCATGCCCCACACTGGGGATCGAGCCCACAACCCGGGCCTGTGCCCTGACCAGGAACCCAACCATGACCTCCTGGTTCACAGGTCGACGCTCAACCCCTGAGCCACGCCGGCCAAGCTGAGTTGCCTTTTTATTATTCAGTTATAAGAGTTCTTTATCTTTTCTGCATGCAAGTCCCTGTCAGGTGTGGGGGCGGCCTGGGCCCAGACGGGAAAGGCCCAGATGCACAAAAAGGAGGCTTTTCTCTTCCCTCCCCTTCGGAGGGCAGAGAGGCCTCGCGGACGCCTCCTCTTCTGCACTGTCCCCGGCACTGTCCCCAAGCCACCCCCAGAGTGGGTGCAGAGGCGACTCATCCTCCCTTCGCGCCTGCAGAGAGAGGCAGCAGCCTGGCTCCAGCTCGTGAGGGTGATGCCGGGAGACGCTGCCTGCGGCAATAACCCTGCTCTCTTGGGCTGCTCTTGTAGACAGAGTAACCGGACGGTCCGCGTGACCCAGCAGTTCCTGGAGTACACCGTCAACGGCAACAAGAATGACCTCCCCGTCTCTGACAACTACGTGTTTCTGCCTGAAGGGCCTGCGGACCCCGCGTGGGAGGCAGTGAGCGTGGAGATGGTGCGCGGGCGCCTCCTGACGGAGATCCGGCAGTACTTCTACAGGTGCGCGGCCTCCGGCTGGGCCCGGCACACAGTAGGTGCACACGGGCGGGTGCTGGGGCCCACCTTTACCAGCTCCTGCTTGGCAGTTGCCGCTGGATGGAAGTCCGGTGCAGGAATGAATGGCTCCAGGCCAGGCTTTCTGGCTGCGTCTGCATGTGCTGTCACCTTGCTGGTGTCCAAGCGGAGCTGGGACAGGAACCCGCGGTGCCAGTGACTTAGCACAAGAGGAGTTCTTGTGTTTTCCCCGACAGAAGCCATCGGGCCTGGCCGAGCCCTGCGCCTTCAGGGAACCGGCGCCTCCCGTCCTGTCCCTGAGAAGGCACCCTGCCCACCCACCCACCTGCGGGAAGGAGGGGGAGAGAAGCACCTGCCCTGGCCGGTGTGGCTCAGTGGATAGAGCGTAGGCCTGTGGACTGAAGGGTCCTGGGTTCGATTCCGGTCAAGGGCACGTGCCTGGGTTGTGGGCTCGATCCCCAGTAGGGGGTGTGCAGGAGGCAGCCAATCAATAATTCTCTCTCATCACTGATGTTTCTCTCTCTCCCTCTCCTTTCCTCTCTGAAATCAATAAAATATATTAGAAAAAAAAGAAAAGAAAAGAAAAGAGAGAGGGCAGGAGAGGAGGGAGGAAGGAGGAAGGGGCGTCCAGAGGCCCGGAGGCTGCATACCGATCTGGCTCTTGTCTTTCAGGACGTTGGAGGCCAAAGAGCACACCTACGCCATCTACTCCCGCCTGGCGCACGTGCCGCTGGGCTACGACCGGGAGCTGCTCTGCCACCGCCTGGAGCAGGAGCTGCGCGTGGGCCCCCTGGAGGTGAACCGCGAGGCCGTCCTGAGGACCAGCACCGGCCTGCAGAGCCTGCGGGTCCTGCACTCGGACAGCAACGCCTTCCAGATGCAGCACAGGCTCCACCGGGACTACCCGGCCCACACCATCTCCCGGGTGCGCTGGCGAGGCCTGGGCGCGGGGCCTCTGCGGGAGCCCCCCTGCTGCCGGTGGCGGTGGAGCCCAGGCTGGGTCAACCCGGTGTCTGAACCGGGCTGCCACGCGCTGAGGACAGTCCCCGGGGCCTCAGTTTCCCCTCCTGTAAGATGAGGGCTCGCTGGGCAGAGTTGGTCTGAGGGTTCGTGGGATGATGCATGTCTAGGGCTGACTGTGTCCACGCTCTCAGCGGAACACGGCGGCCGCAGGGCCTCCAGTCAGACGCCAGGTCCAGTGCGCGCCTTCAGCTCCCAGCTGGTGGCCTTGGGCAAGTGACTGATCTTCCCTGTGCCCGTGCCCTCTCCTCGCCCCGGGCTGGGAGGGTCCCTGGGAGAATCAGGGAAGCGGGGTGCTGGGCACCTCGTGAGCCCACAATGAGCCTTTGTTATTTCTCCTTCCACGGGATCCCCGCTCTGCTCCGCACTGCCTGCCTGAGTGTGTTCCCTGCATCTCTGTTTTCTGGTCCTCACCCTCTGTGGCCAGGGCCCCCCGAGTCCAGCCTGTCATCCCGGGGGATTCTGCCCCACGGGAGCCAGAGGCATGGCCGTGTGGCTGCTGCTCAGATCACGGGCCCTTACGCCAGCACCCCTCGGCCCAGGGCCCTGGCGGGTCCGTGTCCCTCCCTCCCTGCAGCAGTCGTCCAGAGTGGGTCTTTGCGCCCCATCTACAGAAGGGGAAACTGAGGCTTGAGTGGGCTCAGGTCCCCAGCTCACAGGTCAGGAGGCAGGAGAGCCGGATGAGTCCCTCCCCCATGGCCCCTCGAGCTGCCGCTGCACCTGAGCTGGGGCTTGGCTGGGGTGGCCAGAGGGCGGTCCCTGACCAGGTGGCCTGCCTTGCCTTTGCCCAATGGCCCTCCTGGCCATGTCTGTGCCCACAGAATTATTACCCCATGGTGCAGTCGGCCTACATCGAGGACAGCAGGACCAGGCTGGTGCTGCTCTCTGAGCAGGCGCACGGCGTCTCCAGCCAGGGCGACGGAGAGGTGGAGGTAGGCGGGGCCCTGCGCTGCCCCCCATGGCAGCCCCGGTGCCGGGGGCCTGCCACCCAGCTCTCCCCTGCAGGTGCTGCTTCACCGGCGGCTGTGGAACAACTTGGACTTGTCCCAGATCTTCAACGTCACCCTGAAAGACGCCTCCATTGTCCGCCCGGTGTTCTGGCTCCTGCTGGGACCCCTGTCCCTGACCACTCGCCTGCGCCCGCAGAGTGGGCTGGCCCTGCAGCACAGGCCTGTGGTGGTGCTGGGAAGGCTGCCTGGTAAGGGGGTGCCGAAACGGAGCCCGTCAGGCCAGCGAGAACCGGGGAGGATGGGTGCCCTCGGGGTCTGGGCTGTGTGCGCCGTGAGGCCGAGTCCTCTCGTGAGGGATTCCTCGTGGGATGTGCATTGAAGAGACATGATCACACAGGTCGGGGATTCAGGGCAGACAGTGGGCGGGGCTGACGAGAGGGCCGGTGACCGGTGGGGTTAGGTAGTGTGACCCGCAGCCGAGATGAGCCTGTGGGCCAGCTTTGAGGGATGTCTTAGGGTTCCTGTGTTTGACAGGAAAAGCGCCAATGGAGCTGCTGGGTGGGCAGAGGCTGGGAAGCTCAGGGCGGGAGGAGGAGCTGGGCAGCGGCCGCGGCAGGCGGGCGGCCGGGCAGCGCTGGGCTTCTCGGGAGCCATCTCTCCCAGGACTGCCCGGAGCTGCTGCCTGCCCCTCCAGGCCCCGTGCTGGCCGCCAGTGTTCTTCCTGGCAGAGGCAGCCTTTCCCACGGAGGGCGGGTGCCGTGTCTGAGAGAGCCCCGAGGCTGCTCAGCTCCCTCCTCTGGCCTCACTCCAGTCTCTGGTGGCTGCGAGTGAGAGAAGTCGAGGGAAGGCCAGGGGTGTAATGCGTACCCAGCTGGAACCTTCATGAGGCTGCTTCTCCCTCCTCTATCTTCTCCCACAAAGGAATGGAGACGCTAAAGTCCCAGGGAAAGATTGTGATTGGCCCTATGGGATCACATGACCCCAGCCTGGACCAGTCACTGTGGCCTGGGGTACAGCAGGGAGTCGGCACTCCAGCTGCAGCCCAGAGTTGAAAGGAGCATTTCCCCGGAAAGATGAGGGGCTGAGGGGTCTTCAGAGCAGAGGCCCGGGGCAGCAGACAAGGGGGGAGCTGGCTTCCCAGGCTTGACTAGAAAACAGGGCTCTGTGTGAGCCCGTCATCTGATCTGGATTTACCATGTGTCCCTCTGGGCCGTGGTCCCCCTGTCTGCAGCTGGCAATGGGTGGACCGGAGATTCAGGGTCCACCCAGCTCTTAGATTCGTCATCTGAGCTGCTGGGCCTGTGGGAGGAGGGGCATTTGTGGGGGAGGGCCTGGGGTGGGAGCCTGGGTGGACTCTGGACCAGCCGTGTAGGCTGCCCGGGGGGAGGCTGGGAGGTCGCTGTGCTGGGAGGGACTGCGGCGGGGAGAGCTCCGCATGCAGGAGGAGGGGGTGGCCCCAGCCCTGCCCCTCGCTGTGTCCGTGGACTGTGCAGAGGCCGACCCAGAGCGCCCTGTGGCCCGGCAGCCAGAGGCCGTGACGCTGCCCCCAAGCCTTCACCTGCAGACCCTGAGCATCCCCGGCTGGACCTACAGCTCCAACCACACACAGCACCTGCAGAAGCTCCAGAAAGGTGAGGCAGGGTCCGGGGCCAGCCCCCTCCTCCCTCCCCTGCCAACCCGGCCCCATCGCATCGCCGGGCAAGGGGCCTCCTCAGAGTTGTCATGGCTCAAGGTCACCTGGTCCCTTCACCTGCCAATGGGGAGGCTGAGGCCCACAGAGAAGCAGCGAGTGCCCAGGGACAGGGGGCCTGGACCCCAGCCCAGGACCTGCCCAGTGATTCTCCCTGGACCCCTCTAAGCCCGCCTCCATCTCCAAACCATTGGCCACATCCTGCCGGACCCTGTGCTTCCTCCACGGACTCCCCTGGGGCCGCGAGCACCTGACTCCCGTCACCCTCCGCGAGAGCCCTGGCAGCCCGACTGTCCGGAACTTCCATTCATTGTGAACCCAACGTCTCCGGGCCGGGGCCTGGGGGAAGCGCAGTGACCGGTGCGGCGAGGTCTCTGCTTGCCGAGCTCCTGGTCTAGAGGGGGGAGCAGTCAGGTCACCAGGCAGCGATGACAGTGATCAGACGGAAGCCGGGGCTGGGCATCAGGGAGGGCTTCACGGTGGAGGCGAGACCTACTAGGAAGCGACTGGTCCTGCTGTCAACACTCCGGCTGCACTTCCTCTGCCCCTTTGCACTTGAGCAGCTCAAAGGCAGGCTGGCTGCGCCTCAGCCACCCTCGGGTCCCCACAGTCCCACCCAGGACCTGGCCCCCCACAAAGGAAAGTCTGTGGAATTAAGAAGTGGCGACAGGCCAAGTAACATCCTTGTCCCTGAAAAAGTGTGTGTGGGAGACCTGGGCTCAGGTCTGCATCCCAGAGGCTGCCTAACCCTGAACCCCAGCACCTCAACCCCCATCACAGGAGACACTGGGCGGGCGGCCTCCCGCCAGCAGCACCCCCTTCCCATGGGCACGTGACCCCCTGTGAAGCAGGCTGTCATCCTCACCCTCCTCCTCACCCTCCCCACCTCATCGGGGGCCCGAAGCCTCACTCGGCTCAAGGCCCATCCCGAACCACTGCGCCAGGACCACGTAGAAGAAATTTTACAAACCTCCTGCCACCGTAACCAAGGGCCCACCTGTCCCTGTGCGGACAGCACGCCCCCCCTCCCCCGCTCCCCGCCCCCCGCGGCTGTATGTCTCCTGGGTCAGCAGCGAGCCCTTCTCGCCGTGGGACCAGGGACCTGCCGGGGGAGGCCATGATGCACCATGTGCGCCTCAGTCCCGGTGACAGGAAACGCTCCCGTCTTGAGTGACAGGTCACCTCTGCTCGCTTTGCACTGGCCTCAGGGTTACCTGGCCTCAGGCAGAGAAGGAGCGAATGATCCTGAGACGGGAAGCTCTGAGCACAGGGCCAGGAGGCCCACAGCCACGACGGGGGACGGAGGAGGGAGGAGGGAGGAGCGGGCCTCTCCAGGCGTGGCATCGCCGTGTGGCCAGGCCAGGGACTGCCCCTCTCTGAGCCCGTGGAGGCCGTGCCGGCGCCTCCCAGGAGCCGGAGGACGTAAAGTGGAGTGAAGGGGAGGGGGTGTCAAGTTCCGCACACGTTGGGTCCTCACGGCCCTCCTCCCTCCGTCCCTCAGGCTTCCCAAGGAAGGCCAAGCCCGACCTCCGCCGGGTCCTGCTGCGGCTCCACCACCTGTACGAGGTCCGGGAGCACCAGGTCCTGTCTCAGCCGGTGACCGTGGACCTGAAGGTGAACGCCCCCGCGCCCCCCTCTGCCAGACCACCCTGTCCAGCCTCTTGGGCGCTGGCCCAGGGAGTCACATTCCAGGTCACAGTCCCGACTCCGAAGCCACTTTGGCAAAGAGGCGTGTTAGTGCGCTCACAGCAGACCCGGTGTGGGCTCTGGGGGCCCCCCTGCCCCTCCCACCCCACCCGGTACCCAGCCTGACCCCTTCTCCCCGGAAGGTAGTTCACGACGCCTCCCCCCTCCCCGTTTTCTCTCTGTGCCTGGCACTCCCCGTTCATCTGCTCCCAGAGTGCCTGTTCCTCCCTCTGATTTCGCTTTGGGGCATATCTGCTGCCTGTGTCCTCCACTGGTCCTGTGGAACCCAGCACCCCCACCCCAGGCCTGCCACATATGCCTCCGGACGCCCCCTTTTCCCAGCCTCACCACGTGGGGCCGTGGCCGTCTCCTTCCTCTCCCGCCCCCGTCCCACGGGCCCCTCGCAGGCCGACAGCAGGTCTAAGCCACGTGTGTTCAGGGCACAGGGAAGACCAAGGTGGCACTTGGCGTCAGTCGCCTGTGCTGCAGGTTCAGCAGAGTGCCGAGGCCCTTGGGGGGCGATGGCCGGGCGGAGGCCGCGCTGCTCCTCCGCGTGGATGGTGCTGGTCGGTGGCCCAGCGGGTCTCAGGGAGGACGGTGCACGGTTGCCAGGGCGGCTGCCAGCGAGGGCGCCTGGAGCAGGCCGGGCGTTTCTCACCATCAGAGCGCGGCTGGGCTGTGCTGCCCTCGGTCACTCAGTCCTCCGGGCCGTCCTCAGCACGCCAGCTCCTTTTCGTCCTGCTGTCGCCTGTGGTCACAGCCGGTCGGGCCTCACCAGCAGGTGTAAAGACCGAAGTGGGGTCGCAGCACCAGGGCCTGGTCGCCCGTGCACGTCCTGTCCATCAGCCAGGGCAGCTGGCCCAGAACCCCGCCCTCCGGCCAGCCGCTGTCCCTGAATGCCAATGGCCACTCGGGCCCCTGCCTCCCTGCATGGGTGGCTGGGCTGAGCTACTTGGCTAAGGGGGTGGGTGACTGGCTGGCCTCCTCCAGGGGCCGGGCCTGGTGCGGCCTGAGCACCGCTCAGGGCAGGAGGGGACTCGGTGTGGGAGGGGCTGCTCTGAGCGCCAGCCACCTCCTGGGCACCCATCCACCTGGCAGCTGGGAAGCAGGGCCTCCTGGCCTCAGTTTCCTCACCTGTGAAGTGGGCTCCCGCCAGTAGCTTTGCTGTGAGAATGGAATGAGGGAGGCGTGTTGGGCCCTGGGTGGCCCCCTGCAGCTGTGTCCTCTGCTCCGCCCTGGAGCCCTGGCTCACCTCCCCACGCTGCGTTCCCTGCAGGCCGTGCTGCGGGGGCTGGGCACGCTGGTGGCCGTGGAGGAGCGCTCGCTCACGGGGACCTGGAGTGTGAACTCGCTGCGGCGCTGGAGGTGGAGGACACCCAACAAAGGTTTGGGAGCCTCTGGTTTGGGTGCTGCCCGGCTGCCCCGCGCTGCCCCTTCAGGCTGTGTGACCTTGAGCAGGCTGCTCGCCCTCTCTGATTCTGCAGCCGCCCTGAACTACCATAGCAGTTAGGAGAGGCTTTGGGTCAGTGCCTGCCTGCCAGGGCTCCACGCAGGTGTGCGCGTGTGCGAGTGCGTGTGCGTATGTGCGAGTGCATGTGAGTGCAGGCCACGCCGCCTGTCTGTGCCCCTGGTGAGACCCATGCTCGCCGGCGGCCCCCAGGGTCTGAGTGTGCCAGGCTGTGCCTCGCTCTGCACACACCACTGTGGCCCGCCAACCACAGGCTGCTTCCCGCCGCCCAGGCTTTGCGCACGCTGTTCCCTCCGCTGGAACGCGCCTGGCCCGCCGTCCGGCCTATCCTGCCCGGGCCAGGCAGGCGCCAAATGACGCCTCTCGGTCCACTGCACCGGCACTGTGGCGGGGGCGGGGCGGGGGGCCGTTCAGTCATTGGGGGGGCGGTGAATGGGTGGATCATGCATGGGTGGGTGCAGGAGGGAAGGTGGGTGAACAGTATGAGCCCAAACCCCAGCGCATGACTTTGGGGGGCCAGTGAACTAAAGGGTGGGGCCCCCAACGGCCTCAGTGAGAAGCCCCTTAGGTCCTGAGGCCTCGTGGGACCAGGAGCAGCCTCCTCTGCAGGCCCAGTGCTCGGGGAAGGGCGGAAATGCGGCAGAAATCCTCTGGGGTGCGAGGCCCCGGCCGTGGGTCCTGGCAGGAGGGGCAGCCACACACCCTGTGGTGTTGGGGGTCCCGGGAACAGGGGCTCCGAGGGACAGGGCTGGGCTGACCACCTCTGCCACTGCCAGGCGGCTCCCGGCCCAGCGCCCCGCACGGCCCCGTCGTCACCATCGGCCCCAAGGAGATCCGGACCTTCTTCGTCCACTTTCAGAGGCCGTGAGTGCTCGGCCGAGGCTGTGGGCCCAGGGCTTCCGGACCCGGGAAACCACAGGGCCCGACTCGGCCCAGCAGCGAGGACGGACGGGAGGACAGCTGCCGTCCGGTCGGCTGATGCAGGAAACGGACAGGCTGGGTTTCCTATTTTTTGAAATAAAAGCTGCATCATAAGGACCCGTTTCTTCTCCTCGGCCTCTGGCGCCAGCCCCTCCTCCCCTGCCGCCTGGCTCTGTCCTCACGCACCCACAGCTCCTCGTTCATTCGCGAAAGTCAAAGACAGGAAGTCGTGCCAGGCAGAGTGCGAAGCCACAGTGACACCAGCGCACCCGCCGCGCAGGCCCTGTGGGTCTCATGAGGCCGCCAGTGGCTCTGCCGTGTGAGGGTGACACGGTGTGGCGGTTGGGACATGGGGGACAGGAGGCCTTAGAGCTGTGGGTGCATGGGGCTCGGCTTCTGGGTCAGGAGGGCCGTGGGGAACGTCTCCCCGGGCAGGGCTGTGAGCTGTAGAAAGACGCAGACCGGAGTCCGGGACACCCCGCCGACACCCTGACACCCACCGACTCGTCACCTCGCCTCTTCCTGGCTCCAGGTCCTCCCCCGCTCAGTGTCATCCCCGATCGTCTGGCTCTTCCCACCAGATGTGTGTCCCCAGGTGAGCACCACAGCTAGGCGCTGTCAGTATTTATTACGTGACTACAAGCTTCGGGAGGGAGGGGGGGAGATATTCCATGATTTTCCTTCAGGAGAAGAATGAAGGCAGGAAGATGGGAGTCACCCCGTCCTCTTCATGGTCTGTGCCCCTGCTCCACCCACATGTACCCACACATGCTTGCGTGTGTAGGCATGCACACACACACATATGCTCATACACATGCACTCTGGAACGCAGCCCACCCGCCTCTGTCTCTAACAGTTCTGTGCCCGCAGCACCTAGAATGCTGCCTGGTACTAGGAGACTCAGAGAAAATATTTTTCCAAAGAATGAAGGAGACCAAGCATCTGATTGGATTTCCGGCTCCGACGCGCACTAGGAAGCCCCTGAATTTATCCTAATCTCAGTTTTCCCTCCTGTAAAAATGGAGATAACGATCCTCATGCCTGTCTTATGTGCGTGTGAGGGTTCCCGGAGGAAACATGCTCATTGCTTAGACCAGCACCTGACATGGAGTACGTGCTCCATAAAGGTGAGCTGTTCTGGTGGTGATAGCAGTGGTGGTGGTGGTGTGATGGGGATGGTGTTGTTGTTGGTGGTGATGGTGTGGTGGTGGTAATAATGGTGGTGATGGTCATGGTGCTGTAATGGCAATGGTAATGGTGTTGACAGTAGTGGTGATGGTGGTGGTGATGGTGAGATGGTGATGTGATGGTGACAGTAATGATGGTGATGGTGGTTTGGTGGTGGTGATGGTGTTGCTACTGGTGGTGATGGTGTGGTGTGATGGTATGGTGTTGTTGGTGATGGTGGTGGTGATGGTGTCATTGGTGGTTATGGTAATGGTGTTGCTGTTGGTGGTGATGGTATTGCTGTCAGGTAGGATGGTGATGGTGTTGGTGATGATGGTGTGGTGTTGTTATTGGTGGTAATGGTGTTGCTGTTGTTGGTGGTAGTGTGGTGGTGGTGGTGATGGTGTTGCTGTTGGTGGTGATTGTGTGGCTGTTCGTGATGGTGTGGTTGTTGGTATGATGGTGATGGTGGTGTTGGTGGTGGTGATGGTGATAATGTTGGTGATGGTGTGGTAATGGTGTTGTTGGTGATGGTGTTGCTGTTGGTGGTGATGATATTGGTGATGGTGTGGTAATGGTGTTGGTGGTGTGGTAATGGTGTTGGTGGTGGTGATGGTATTGCTGTCAGGTAGGATGGTGATGGTGTTGGTGATGATGGTGTGGTGTTGTTATTGGTGGTAATGGTGTTGCTGTTGTTGTTGGTAGTGTGGTGGTGGTGATGGTGTTGGTGTTGGTGGTGGTGATGGTGTGGTAATGGTGGTGTTGGTGGTGATGGTGTGGTAATGGTGTTGTTGGTGGTGATGATATTGGTGATGGTGTGGTAATGTTGTTGGTGGTGATGGTGATGATGTTGTTAGTGGTAATGGTGATGATAATGGTGGTGGTGTGGTAATGGTGTTGTTGGTGGTGATGGTGATGATGTTGTTAGTGGTAATGGTGATGATATTGGTGATGGTGTGATAATGGTGGTGTTGTTAGTGGTGATGGTGTGGTAATGGTGGTGGTGTTGGTGATGGTGATGGTGATGGTGATGATGTTAGTGGTAATGGTGATGATATTGGTGATGGTGTGATAATGGTGTTGTTAGTGGTGATGGTGTGGTAATGGTGGTGGTGTTGTTGGTGGTGATGGTGATGGTGATGATGTTGTTAGTGGTAATGGTGATGATATTGGTGATGGTGTGGTAATGGTGTTGTTGGTGGTGATGGTATGGTAATGGTGGTGGTGGTGGTGGTGGTGGTGTGGTGGTGGTGGAAACTGATACACCAGCAAAGGGGAGAATGAGCCTGGTTACTGCTCTCCCTCCAGGGAAGCTGCCACATTGAAGCCTTCGACACCCTCTCTTCTAGCTGATGTTCACCCAGCCTGGGAAGAGCCCCATGGGACCTTGTGCCCGTCCCTCACTGGGAAAACAAGGGGGCAGACGGGGATATTTCTCAGCCCACATAGGATCACCGTACTCAGTACCATGCCCTCAGCCCCATGGTGTGCAGCACCCGGCTGGTCCTTCAGACTCAGAGCAGGCTCCTCCTCCGAGAAGCCTCTGTCCTGGCCTGACCGGTCACGTGGCCCTGCTCTGCCTGCCCGTGCACCTGTGTGCTCATGTGGACGAAGGCTTGCAGCTCTGCCTGCTTCCCGCCTCCCCTTGGGCTGCACGGCTCAGGTTCCCACTGGGTTGTCCTGCAGCCTCTGGCAGCCCGAGCGTCTGCCCTGAGTCTGGCCTCAGTCTGGGCAGCAAGCTGCTTTTGTGCTGCTGGGCTCTGCTCAGCTCCTCCGAGGGGAGTGCAAGTCTTTGAGGGCCCAGGCCTATTCCTCTCTGCCTGCAGGGCCCGCGCCGGGCGTGGCGCCAGGGAAGTGCTCTGCAGCTGTTTGTTGAATGAATGAGTGAGTGAGTGAGTGAATGAGTGAATGAATGAGTGAGTGAGTGCAGGGCAGGCTCCAAGGTGAGGCCCTGCGGAAAGGACCTCACATCCGCATTGACCGCCTATGTCGAGGGGCTATTCGCAAGGCCCCCCACTCTGCAGGGCTGACCCGGGTCCCGTGGCTGTCGGGCTGACCTGGAAGCGGTCAGGCCGGTGGGCAGGCCTTGGTCCGGTTCCTGGGTGCTGGCCAGAGTGCTGGTAAGGCTCAGGCTCATGCTGAGAAGTCTGCCAGGCCGCCAGCCGCTTCGAAATGCCCAAGTCCAGGTGCCCCGTGGAGCTGGCGGCAGAGAGGTGGCCGCAGACGACGCGTGGGGGCAGGTGAACACGTTTGGATGAGAAAAGGCCAAAGCCTCTAACAGCCGGGAGCTTGGCTGTAACATTCCAGCACGTTCTGTTGATTTATGGCTGTTGCTAGGTAACCGAGTACACTGAGGCGGGTGTGATTGGAAAGCTGCGTGCAGCTCTCGACCAAAGAGTCACAGAAAGAGAAAACCGTTAAGCTGGGGGGCTGGGGAGGGTGTGGGTGCAGCCCAGAGGAGGGGCGCTGTTAGAGGCAATTAGAGGAAGTGGAGTCCCCCCCCCCCCCGAGTTTGCTGTCCTCAGGGTGTGTCCTGCAGCCCCGGGAGCCCGCTGCTGCTCGTGCGGCTCCTCCCTCAGAAAGACACCAGCGTGAACCGATGCTTTATTCTGCAGAAAATTGATTAGCACGTGGCAGGTTTCTCACACAGTGCGTGACGTAGGAGTGTGTAAGCTTGATGGGCAGGATTCATTGTCTTCATTTTCCCTGACAAATGGCTCCGCCTCCCACCAGCACCATTCATTGGCTGAACACATATGGATACCCACTGCGTGCCCCCGGGATTCACGTGTGAACAAGACAGACATCCCTCCACCCCACAGAGCTGGCATTCAGACTGGGGGAGACAGACACTCAATAATAGTCATAATTAAGAAGCCAGTTCTCTCTTATGTTAAATAGCAACAAGAAGAAGCAAAGCCGAGGTGAGGGGGCCGGGAGGAGGGGGGTGGAGGGGGCTTGCTGCGATTATGAATAGAGGTTCCCGATTAGCCTCATCAAGAAGGTGACATTCGAGCGACGTCTTGAATAAGGGGGCACCGGGCCTTGCAGGTGTCTACGGGAAGAGCAGTCTGGGCGGAGGCTAATCTCGGCAGTGCAAAGGCCCTGGGGCGACCTGGGGAAACAGCAGGGAGGCCAGTGCGGACAGTGAGAGTGCCGGGGGCAGTGGGAGGTAGAAGCAGGTCGTGTAGGCTCCTCAGGCCGGGGGGAGCACATGATGGCAGGGAAAGGGGGCACTTGGTGGAGAGGGGAGGCCACCAATCTCTGGGCGGTTCTGTGCCAGAGGCTGTGCTGGGGGTGCTGGGCTCATGAGAGGTGTGTGCTCACCCTTCTAGTCCATGGACGGCAGGCTGAGCCCCGAGGGGGCGGCGAGCTGGCACAGGTGCAATGTTGCTGAGCTGCCAGCTCCTTACCTGTGGGCCAGTACCACACAGGGCGGGACACGTAGGGACTCAGGGTGACAGGGGGGCCTAGACACCGGGCAGACAGCTCAGGTCCAATGCCGGCTCCTCTCTGAGCTTCCCTGTGTGAGCTGGGACCAGCGACTTCATCTCCATGCCGCCATGTTCCTCCCCGTCTATGAAACAAAGGCAGCACTAGCTGCCTCGTCCAAGAAGACCAGCCAGTCCAGTGCTGGGCACCGGCACTCACCCAGGATGCTCCTCCCATCTGCATGCGTCTCTGAGCAAGCGTGCGCTGCACTGTGCAGCTCTGATGGTTTGGGGTGACGGTTTGTGTGGGGCACGGCCACAGTGTTTGGACAGGTTCAAGCCTTGGACTGAGGAGAGGGCACAGTCCTCTCGTGGCCACGTGCAAGTCCCAGCTGGAGGGCAGGGCCCTCCCAGCACAATTATAGCCAACAGCTGTAGTTATGAGCTTGAACCTGTGGTCCAAACACGTGGCCCCACGGGCCTTGTGCTAGAGTTCGGGTGCATGTAGTTAAGTGAGGTTGAAACCCACGAGAATGTTGTAAACAACGTGATCACGCCCCTACTTTGCCTCGTGGCATCTGCTACAAAATAGACACGGCTTGTGGGCGCTGGCGCTGTCTCCTCATCAGGGAGCAGCGTCCCGCCGAGACCCAGCTTTCATGGTCTTGTCTGTCTTTTCTAAGCCCTTCACCGCCCCCACTCGGGGTCACTGAACCAGGCTGAGCTGGCATGAGTATGCCATGGCTGTGCCTGCTCCCCACAGGTTTTCAGGGTGATGGTTTGTGGGTGATGGTTTGTGGGGTGATGGTTTGTGGGTGACAGTTTGCAGGGTGATGGTTTGTGGGGTGACGGTTTGTGGGGTGACAGTTTATGGGGTGACGGTTTGTGGGGTGACGGTTTGTGGGTGATGGTTTGCGGGGTGACGGGTTATGGGGTGATGCTTTGCGGGGTTACGGTTTGTAGGGCGACAGTTTATGGGGTGATGGTTTGCGGGGTGACGGTTTGCGGGGCTATGGTTTATAGGGTGACGGTTTATGGGGTGATGGTTTGCGGGGTGATGGTTTGTGGGGTGACGAATCTGGAGGCAGGCCGAGGTTCCACCGCCGCAGCTGGTTCCCTTTGCCCATTCTGTGCTCCCACAGCCTCGAGTTCCTTTGGGATCTTGAGGGCAGGAATGTGTGTTATTCGTTGGTTTCTGCCCATGTCCACTGCAGGCCTGATACTCAAGGATGATTAATAACCTCTAATTAAATTAATGAATGCAGAATAAGTGCTGTTAAGGACTCAGGGATGGTTTCAACCACTGAAGTAATCAAGGAGGGCTGCATGCAAGAAGAGGCATGAGGAGGCTGGGAACTGCCAGGGGGAAGAAGAGTGCCATGTCGCTGGAGGAGGCTGGGAGGTTACTTTCGCCGTGGCCCCCCTTATAGATGGCGGTCCCCCCTTTATCTGCTGAACTTCTGGGCTCCTGTCCTGGGGAGGCTTGGGATCTCCTTCCCCCGCCATCGCCAGGCCCAGGAGGGACCCCGGGCCCCTGGGCCTCTCCCAGGGCTGGGCTGGCTGGACGGAGAGCTGATGAGCGGAGGCTGGGTGCTCGGCCGGCCGTGCTGTGAATTACTGATCACCAGAGAGCACTGTGTAGGCAAGGTCACTTCCCGCCCAAGCCAAACTGCTCAGTCACGCTAATTGCCTGTTTTCCAAATTTCCCTCGGGCTGGGCCGGGGCGGGGCAGTCGCTCTGCGCCCCTTGGTTCTGCCAGAAGGCGGTCTAGGGGTGAGAAAGGCTGCGTCGTTGCTCTTCGGTGGTAAGTTGGCGAACCCTGGATGGGTGGGAGCAGGTGCTTGCTACAGGCCCTCCTGTCCCACCGCACGGCAAAGGCTTTGCGCATCCCCAGCCCCCAGACTTGACTGACTCGTGTGAGGGGTGGGCCGGCAGGACCCGAGAATGAGCGGCAAGTCACGCCCCGTGAGCGCCGGCCCCGCGGCCATCTCCCTGGTCCTCGCCCAGACAGACATCCGTAAAACAGCAC